ACAAACCCGAGCTTTCTAGCTTTCAAAATGGCGGAGAAATCTGGGACGCACGAAGACCTATGTTTTGAACCTTAATCTTAAGCTATCTCTTGAAAGGCTCAAGATTTCAAGCTGAAATTTTTACCACGAGCTGCCCAGCCCAAGATATATCAACTCTGGAAGTTTCGTTACGATTAGATGTTCTAAGGCAAAAATAAAATTTTGGGTGGGGGCTGGGCCTTAATGGAAAAACAAGATTTTCAATGATCTTTTCAAACATGTCGTTCTAGTATGTTAACAAGTTTGAATTCAAAACAAAACAATATTGTGGAATATTCAGGCAGATCATCCCAATGAAATAATATGGTGACAACGTTTAATTAATTCAAAATATAATCATTATTTATTTAATGAAAAAAATTTAATATATATTTGTTTGAATTCGATTATAAAAATCTTTTTTAATTCTATAGATATAGAGTTAGTGGAAATATTTATGCTAGATAACGATAGTTCATTTCAATAAATAACATTTTAATTCTTTCCTTTAACAGATAAACGAACCAGTTCGAGAATATCTTAAAGCTCTTTTCCAATATCAAATATGGTTAACGGATTTTTTAAAAATCAACTTGATCAATTACATAAAAAATATTGTAGAACAAGAATATAATCTTATTCAAATAATAGATCGTCATTTTATCTTCAATTACATAAACAATTTTTAAATGAAAATAGTTGAAAAAGATAAATTTGATGAAATTCGTCGAAACATTTCAATATTTTTAACGTAAATGATAAACTGAATAATGTCTTTAAAGAAGATCGTTCATCTATTAACAAGTCATGACGATCTTTATGATTTTATTTTATTTGTTGAACATATATAAGATTATCAATCTAATATATAACTTTATCTTTAACGTCAAGCTTTTGAAAAAGCATTAAAAACACCTCAACCATTACTATATATACTTTTTTTTAATTTTTAAATTTGATTTTTTTTTCGAATGATTATCAACTTGTTTATAAATATTGACCAACATTAATTGAAAAATAACCTGAAAATCTAATATCTCTTTGGAAAAATTATTGATTATTGACGATCATATCCAACAGTAAAGAATATTTTATTTTCTTTATTTTAAGGGCAAACCTCTATTAGATTTTTTAACATTTTTTTTGTTAACAAGAGGATCTATTGATAAATCAATTGATAATTATCTTTTTTTCAGAATATCTCACATTTAATTCTAATCAAATAATCACCTATTTAACAAATCAATAATAACTATAATTAATAGAACATATCTAGTTTATCATAAATAACGGATCCTATTATAATAACGTTATCATCGAATATATGCATTAGCTATTTCCAATAAATCATTCTTGGTTTTAAATTTAAGGTAAATGTTAAATAAGCAAAAGAATGTGCATCAACAGTTCCAAGTAGTGATCAATGAGTGAATAAATTATCGGTTAAAATTGTTAAGAAATAAAAGATTGAATGTATCAGATATTTTAACTATAAAGTTTTTTGAACTGATATTATCGTAGTTTTGTCTTTACATCCATAGAACTAGTTGTATCTATGTATAATAATCAGACTCTAATAGAAATCAACGTTTTCAATCATTCGATTGTATAATGAAGAGTCTAATAATTATCTTTTATGATTAAAACAAAGAGAATAATTATTTAAACAGACCTTAAAACAATCAGTCTAGTTTATAAAATAGAATTATATTGAATAACAAAATAGGATCTTTATTTCGATTTATACTCCAATATCTAATCGATGATTTATTTAGAATATTTTCACTAAGTTTATTGAAAATTGAGATTGATTTCATATTGAAATAATAAACGAAATAAATCAATATCTTATATAATCATGATTAATTATTTAAGGATACCCTTCCTCCCTCAATAAATCAATCGTTCACTCAGGTATATTCAAATCCGATGAAATTCTCAATTAATAAACAAAGATTAAAAAACTAGCTAATTTGACAATCAAAAATTCTCTTTAGGTCTTCATTCTATATACTTGATTTTTTCTTGTTTTGTTTGATAGAATATACCAGGATGTAGAGCATGACAGAACTATTTTTCTTTTATATTCTTAGTTTTTAAATAGAGAAAAAAGATAAAATGTTCAATGTCCCGACAAAACTTTCTAAAAATGGTCGTCTATTTATAGAACTGCTTTTTAATATAATATTCAAAAAAAAAAGGTACTGGAACTTTGACGTGCTCTTTCCAATGAAAAAACCAAGCGATAAGTCCTTTCAAGGATTCTGAGATGCGTGATCAAAAAAGCATAAAGAGAGAAAAAGCGAAAAAGATTTGTCACTTTTTATGGAAAAAAGCATCGTTTTTCAAGCACGAGATGATGGAAATCATCGAAGATCTTGACACAAAAAATGATGTGACAAATAAAGAACGATTTGATTTCTGAATGATGAGAGCTCGATCTATCTTCCTATGGATTTATCTCAAATGTCGATTTTTCTCAGGAAATATTTACTTGTTTTTATCGGAGGAAGGGAGATCTTAACACGACTATGTACTTTATGGTGAATAAATAACTGATTTATATTAAAGTGATTGACTTTTAAAAGTTATTTATTATATAAATGTTAGCTAGTTCCATTGTAACTCAAGGACAATTATCTTAATTAAGTTATGGAATTTCTCGAAGATTGTGCTAATGATTTACTTTAAATAGAAGATATTATTCGATTATTTCCTGATTTTCAAAGAATTGATCAATTTAAAAAATCAATTATTAAATCATTTGAAGATTCTAATGATCGTTTAAATGATTTACGAAATGAAATGAATGATGGAACATCAAAATCTATTTATGGTATAGGTGATCATTTAGCTAAAATATCGTAGACAATATGTTCCAACAATTTATTCAAATCCAACATGTTCATTAAATGAACAAGCATTTATATTAGTATCAACATTTAATATATTTGCTTGTGGTTATTATTTTCATGGTGATTGTTTATTTAGATATTGACGACATTTATTCAAACGTAAAGATGAACGTTATTTAGATGAAAAAAAAATCGTTGACAACCATTAACTAAAAGTGGACAAGTAAATGAACAAAATAGCACAAAAATTAGATAAATCTGCAAAAACAAATCCAATAGGAATATATATTTATACTGTTAATCGTTTCTAATCAATAATAGCTAGTGGAATAGCACCACCATCGACCTGATATCGAATGTCTAGAACTGGAACCTGATCATCTTCTTCCTTCACAATCTATATTATGTGGTGGAACAGATGTTGCACGAACTTTCCAGACACACTGATACAAATTTTTTGTTTCAGAATGTGGAAGTATGGATAAACATGAAAAAATACAACGAAATACGAAGAAATACAAACCAGTACGAAAGAGCACAAAAGATAGCAAAATGTACTACTCTTTGCTTCAGAAAATCCTTATATTTTATTAAAGAGTATCAATTTTAAATCAAAAAAATCAAAAAAAGCATAGGTCAGCCAAACACACTTCAATTAAAGCTCTTGTTACCGTAGGCTCATGGCACCATCAGAAATCGTTTTGGCCTATTGGACATCCGGCGGATGACGTAGCTCTTTTTATACGTTGCAACCGTCTAAAATAGTTTTTATATTATATACAAGAGTAGTATTGGTATGGAGTAGTTTCGATATTAGAGTTTCTATCATTCTCATATTTCATGTTAATATGAGCATTGCTGGCATTCAAATTTTTCTTCCTACTGTTTTCCCTTTAAAATTAACACCGTCTTTTATTCAAATGTGATGGTATTGGTTCTAGAGATCTTTAATTGCACCGAGTGTTATGGTCGCGGTTACTATAAAAAGTTGAAGTCCAGCCGTCGCGACACAAAACTAGGAACACGTATATTATTTTGATCCGACCTTTGCTATTTGTTAGTGATGTTAGAAGAATTTGCATTGACTAGTCTCCCTTGTAATATTCTCAAACTCTTTTTTGTGGAACTCAGGTATATTTTCGAAGGAAACAGCGAGTATAAGTTTTAAGTTGAGGCTTTTTACTCCCTACCCCATTACAGACTGACCTTCATTACAGACATCTTCTCTTCTGAGATGGACGAGTCAACCCAGTTCGCAATCCGAGTCAAGTCCGATTCATTCTAAAATAGTTTCAAATCGAATCGAGTCGAGTCGAGTCGAGTCACTATATTTTTTCCAAATTTTTATTTTCTGTTTATATTTGTACGGAACCTTATCAAAAGGCGCTTTTACTTAACAATATATTTCATACAGCAGGAAATGCACTTTTAAACAGCCAATTTTTTCTAATTGTGACATTTCATAGTTTCTTTGTGAATGCTTCTGTGCGATAAACATAACCTCTCTACCATAGTTAATACTTCGTTTCCACAGATTATTCAATCCATAGATAACCAAAGGAGTTAGTAGATATGATGAGTGCATCTGTAGAAAACTAACATTATTGAGAAATAATAGTGTAAAATGAATTCTGACAAATTTGGCAATTAGAAATTTGTAAGATTGTTGCTGATCAAAATGATGACATCCTTTCTACCAACGAATGTATTATTACGTGGTAGAGGATATGATGTACAATGTAATGCAAATCTTTCATTTATTTTATCGTACATACGGCTAAAGAGGTACATATAGGTTATCATTTATGATCGTGAAGATACAAAAGCCAAGAGAACATGTTGAAAAAATTTTTCGGATGCATTAAACTCAATTGAGTAACAGCTATGAATCAGTCAAATTTTAACCCATAAATGGTGGTTTCTTATAAGAGCAGATGTACTTTTTTCTCAACAAATGACTCGAGTCACACAATTGAGTTGACGTTAGCCAATTTCCGAGTGAGTGTCGAGTCAAGGTCATTACAAAAATATGATTCGAGTCGACTCACATCCAAGTCATGACTCTAACTCGCCCATCTTTACTCCTCTTCTTCTTACGGACGGATGCTAATCACCGCTAGGGATGTTTCGAATATTGATACGGGAGATCATTTCCATGACATCGAATGTTCTAAAAGCAACTATCGTCTATCAAATATTATGTACTTTACGTATTTTATATCGACATTGTTAAGCTAAAGAAGATGTGTGAGTTCGATATTTTAGCCCCAAAGGAACCTCGTTGACAAGCTTTTTCACAAGAAACGAAGAAAGGGTTAATTGTCATATGTAAATAATAATACATAGGCAGCAATAGACTTAGATGTCTCATTGATTCAGTGTGTTATGCGATTTTAAGTGGTGTTAGTAGATTTCTAGCAGAGTTTTTCATTGAAAAACGCTTATTCGATTTGTTTTTTAAGTACCGGCGAAAACCAGCAGGAATATTCGACCATACATGTCCTGTTGTATTTATGTCTGTTCCATCGATAGATTCAATCTTAACCATTCAGAAATTTTGAACGCATTGAGCGTTCTCACTCCAATCATCGACTTATCATCATTCACTAGAAATTCATTGAAATTAGCATCGGTGATCACGATATAATCCGCCAAAAGCCTATTTTTTTCGATCGTTCAGCTTCTTCTTGAATATTAAGAGATTACCAGCTGTTTTAGAGTTCTATAAAGACCTTGAACATTCTAACCTTTTCGCAATCTTTGGAACAAATTCACGTGCATTTAGAGTCATTTGAGTTTGAGACATTTTGTTTTGTGAATCTATTGAAACCTCAGTATTGCTTGTTTGGGTTCTTCCATTCATTCAAAACTCATCCGATTTATGAGCCGCCCATAGCTGAATGTGTCTAAAAAACATATTTGAAGCCGTTAAGACAGAATTTACTGCCACATGATCAATCTTCTTTTTTGTCGGACTGTCTACTACACACACATACTGAACTTCACGCAGCTGTCGTAAAGCGACAACTGCAAATTTTTCTCTTTTCATTCTACTGAGCTGGCTATATTCCTGTTCGCCCATTCTTCCAATATTCGATAGAATCAGTCCAATGACCAGTAAGTCGTTGAGTTCACCAAGAACTTTACAATATCTAGCAAGGTACGTTGAGTATTCTGCGCTTTCTAGAGTGACGTCTTCACATAGACGTTCTTGAAAGGATCAATAAGCGCTAATATGTCTCATATCACTCAAAGATTACTGCAAAATTGTCTTAAGAAAAGGAACGATCTTTCATAATTGGAAGGTTTGAATGGAAAGAGCAGGAGCTCAATTACTGTGTAAAAATTCTGCTGCCACCATGAACGATTACTCGTTTTCTTGTCTATCTGGAAATTAGCTACAGAAGATGTAATACTGATGCTCATAATTACTAAACGTTTTCAGCAGATTGTTTACAGCTTCCAACTGTACTCAATGATACACAGAAACGAAAGGAAACTACAGAATTCTAACCAAGATCGATAATCTTCTTGATAAAAATGTATCTTCTATTGAAAGCAGAATTCATGTTTAATTTGACACAACCTCACAAGCATGAAAGCTTTGAGGATATTCACTCGAATTCTTAATTTTTCGTATTCTTTATAGGGGCTTGAACAGTCAGTGGAATACCCGTATTTACTTTTTTTTCTGTTATCACTTAAAAGCCTAACCATATTCGGGTCAAATTATCATCCTAATCGCTAAAATACTAAATTTAAGGGGACCCCCCCCCCCTCAGAAACGATTTCTCACTTAAAACGAACCATTTGGGCTGAAACTTTCAGGAACAAGTGGTCCTGGTGAGATACGCTTGTGATAAAAATTTCAGCTCGATACACTCGAGTAGATCGAACTTACGGCCTGTTTTCATACTCCCAGGAGAATGAGAATCACTCAGTCGTAGTAAAGGCTAGAGAGCTCGGGGTGGTGTCAAATTAAAGCTAATCTCTGTGCGCAACTTTTCATCAGACGGATTTTTGAAACTCCTTTCCATTCATTTTTTATGACCATTTTACTGGGCAGGTCTGAAAAACACATCACTCGAACGACAGTAAATTCCACTTTTCTCAGCCTAGGAGAAATGGATCAAAAATCCGTCTGATAAAAAGTTAGCCCTGATTCAGAGCTTTAAAACAAAAAAAAATATTGAATAATACCCAAGACCGGGATGGAGTGATTCCAATTTTCCTGCTGAGAAACCATATTCTGAGAAAAATGCTAAAAAATTTTTAGAAATGGATTTTTTCATTCAAATCCAGAGCAAGCCATATTACAATGGTATATTCCATTGCACCATTTTAAAGGACGTAAAATATGAAAGTAGCTAGCGCTATCTGACGTGCTGGTTCATATAAAAATATTCTATTCAATAATAATGCAAGTGGGAGCGCAATTTTTCTGAAACTGAAAACCATGGAAATTTCTCCGAAAACATGGTAGTCGATTTAAAGTTTCATGCGATAAGTCTTTGAAAATCTGATCATTTTCCAAAAAACTATACATATTCTGAAAGAGGAAGCTTCGCTGCATCTTCCTATGATAAAAGCTCAACTTCGATATTTTCCTGAAAAACTTGATTTTCTGAGGGGGGGGCCCCCTTAAAGTATTAGCCGCTGATGACCGTCTTATATGAAACAATTCAGTCTCTTAAAAACGATAGGACATAATTTCAGGAACTGAATAATTTCATATAAGACAGTCATCAATGGTTCATATTTTAAATTTAGCACTTTAGCGATGCGGATGAGAATTTGGCCCGAATATGGTTAGGTTTTTCGCTGATAATAGGTAAAAAGTAAATTGTGGTATCCCACTGACTGTTCACGTCCGTAGGTATTGAATGGATGGTGAGTGCTTAGTGATGGAAATATGTGAAAGATAGCTCCATTTCGTTTATTTGAGTTTCAATTGTCGACAAGAAATCCTTACTACGATCATCTCATATTTCTTTCTGATCATGAATATCATCA